CCAAGAAGGCAGAAGCCTGTGCTAAGGCAGCCAGTATGTCCAGTACCTACGCTCACAACAGGAAAAACTAACCTCGCTATCTTAGACTTTTCTGCCACCTACTGGGACGATGTAATTCCTATGGACCTCAACACGATCGCTGGTACAGACCTTACCGAATTCGAGATTCAACTCGTCGAACAAAAGCGACAAGCAGCCAAGAAGAAAAAAGCCATGCTCGCTGGTGTCAATCTCGTGACGGAGCCGGCAGTACATGAAGAGCCGGCTATGGAGACGATTGCTGAAGCTCAAGAGGAGGCGACTCCCGACGTCGAGACTGCGCCTACTGTTCCTGAAGAGCAAACGACGGAAGCCGCCGCGAATGGTGAGGAGGAGACGGCAGAGGTTGCAGAGGCGGCAGAAGCTACCGAGAATGATGAGGTCCCAGATACACGAGTTGTTCATGAAAACTTTATCTGCAACATGTGCATGGCGGATCCTATCAAAGGAATCCGATACCAGTGTGCCAAGTACGTAAAGTTGGCCGTTATTCAAGCATTGCTAATGGTGCCCAAATAGTGCCGCATGTCCAGACTTTGACATGTGCGAGGACTGCTATGCCAAGAAAGAGCATGACCAGACGCATGAAGTAACCGTCATTCCGGTTCCACGCCAACCCGTTCATACCAACTATTACTGCAGTATGTGCAGTATACAACCCATCGTCGGAACCCGGTACAAGTGCCTAGAGTATGTCGGGAATTTACTAGTAAAGGTTTATGCATACTGAAATCTTCCCAGGGAGGTCTGTGGCGATTATGACTTGTGCCAAAAGTGTATGGACAGTGGCGAACATCCCAAGTCCCACTCGATGTGGATGCTTCCCCTTCCCCTCCCTGATCAAGAAGAAGGTGCTGCTGCCGCTGCTCCAGAAGAGCCCGCTGAAGTCACTTTTGGCTCCCAACCCATCCACGAAGGCATTTATTGTGATGGATGTCGCATGCCCGCTATCATTGGTCCTCGATACAAGTGAGTTTAATGACTTTCATCTATTACACTTCCTGATCTCATTTCTTAGATGCATGGAGTGAGTGATGATGATCGCGCCGAGTAAAGA